TTTTGGGCATGACTGAACAGGGCTTGCACAGCTTCAAGGCCTTCTCCTCTCCCCACCCCACAGACACGGAGGTGAGGGTGAACACTAAGTTGAGAAGGAAAAGTGCTGGAACAGCTGACTCAAATTACCCAGAGATATCACACACCATATAATGTCACACTCAGCAGTAAAAACCACAGGAAGAATTTCAAGAGAACTAATAGCTGTGAGCTATTCTACACACACAAACACCCACCAGGAACAACTAAGGGTTCATTCGGAAATGAACAACACTGGGCAACTTACTTTGGAACTTCTTTAATGTATCTGTCATATGCCAGGGTATTCTTGCCAAAATTGATCTGCTTTTGTCTTCTCCTCAGGACCACCTCATCAGTTTCCCTTTCTGCTGGATTGGCAGAATTTCTTCTAACAGAATTTGAAAATAAAAAGAAAAATTAAGTTGAAAAGAACTTTAATAGCATTATAGGAAGTTTAATTAACACATACCCATAACTGCCCTGTATTCTTAATGACAGACAGTGAGCACAACCCTTACCTCACTAGCTCACAGAAGTGAAAGCTGTGCTAATAAAATCTGAATCTCAAATAATCACAGAAGCAGCTTTGGAGCTAAAACCTCTCAGTGCTACTCCCTCCCCTAACGCTTCCTTCAGGCTTGATACAAAACACCCTGTCTGTGGTTTCAGATATTCATCAATGCCTGTGAACGAGCCAAAGATCATCAGATGGTTTGTGCTAAAACCAATGTAACAACAAGCAGCAAGAGCTCAATACCTACTTGGTCATTTCTTTATTTGATGGCCTCATTGTTTTGCCTTCTTCAGTTCTACCTTCCCAGCTGGGGCAACTGGAATGTGGCCTGGAATGTTCTGACGTGGCACAGCTAGAAAATAATAGGAATTCAACATGAATGTTTGCTGCTTGTAACACATTCAATCAACAGAAACATCAATAATGGACAAAACCAGCTCCACAACTGTAAAACCATGGGCATGTTTCTCCTCTATTTCAGTTCTAAGGTGACCTTCAGTCTGGCCTCTTCTGTCCATTTTAAGGCCTCAACATTTAACAAGTCATGTAAGTAATACAGAAGCAGATTTAGCTGACAGTCTTACTTTCCCTAAATGGTTTCACATCAACAGATGAAATTACCATGCAAGCTGACAATGTCATTTCAACACAGGACAAAGATTCCACATTGAAAAGGAACAGATCCACTCAGCAAAAGAGAAACACAAAACATTGCTGGCACAGCTACTTAAGTCTCACACTCATGCCATACTCTCGGTGTTTTTTATGAGCACATCAAAGACACAGAACACACTCCTGAATACAAGACCTTTCCTAATCTCTTCTAAACATCCATTTCTTAACAAAGCAATATTAAACATGAATCCAAAATTAAAATCATCTTCATACAGTGGAATATTCAGAAATCTACGAATTACATAAAGACTATTTTCATGTACCCTCAGTAAAACTTTTCCTCTTTTATTCTGTTCAGTTTGTTGCAGATAACCCAGCACTCACCACTTTGCACCCTTGCTATCAGACTATAAGATGTCAGTCTCAACTATTTCCTCTACTGTGGGTCTTTAGTCTAGAATATCCAAAAGGCTAGCAAGATATTCATAGAATTACCTAAGTACAGAGTTCTATCTCATCTCAAAATGTCCTCAGGAATGGAATAAAGGAAAAAAACCAAACATGCTAACTAAAAACTACAGTACAGCTGAATATACCAAGTGGACTGTGATGAGACAAAGATGGTCTGCCTACTTTTACACAGAAGGATGCATAACCAAATATAAGAGCAAATGGCTTCATTGGGAGTTTTATACTAATATTGAAGACATCAGCAATAAAGGGCGTAAAGTACTGCTTCAGCTCAGAGCCCTTCTCCCTTTCACTTTGGACACTTGCTAATTCTGTGCCATGTATTTCCATGAGACACACTCGATGGTCTGCTTTAGGCACCATGCAGGTATCATCTCCTAACTCTGTGGCACTCCATTACAAGAGAACACTCAACCTAAACATGTCCATGCGTTTCTTGGAGTCCTAAGAAGAGTGCAGTAAAGTAGAGATTTAAAATAATTTACAATTATTTCTTACCTCTCCATCCAGTGGTCTGAATGGCCACACTGATATTCCTCCAACACCAGAGAATCTGAATCACTGCAGCTTCCATGTTCCTGCTCTTGATGCCAGCAGTGTGGATGTTGCACAGAACTAGAAAAGAAGAATTTTCATCTGAAATCAAGCCACTGAACATGGCCTATAAACATCAAAGATGGACAATTGGATTTGGCATACAGATACGTGATTCATATCCACTTACTCGGGCAACACATACTTAACAAAGGTGTTGGTGCAACTGCTCAGAAAATAACTTGGACTAACGCAATTAAGACATCAAAATTATCAAACAAACACTTCATATCTTGATAACAAATATAGACTGTTTTTGGAAACAAATTGGTGGGGAAGAAAAACTAATTGAGGACTGCAAACAGCATTTATGGACTTGTGGACATGTCCACCCTCTCTCAGCAGTGTATTATTTGATATTTATTTACTGCCCCATCCGGTAGTAAACTCCCAGAAAAGGCAAGTCCAGAAACCACACTGTAATATAATGGCTAGGGAGAAGCAGGTCAAATGTCTATGTGGAAACACTTTTGCACAGGAAATTCTGGAGCCCTCACAAGGAAGCCTGGGACAGGGAGCAGCCCATAGTGCTCACAACACACTGGCAGCTCAGTCAGGGATTGCTTAAGGCTTGAGCTCTCTACATTCTCCTCCTTGGTTCTGGAGGCTTTGACACCTTAAATCACAGCTTACTGAACAAAACACAACCGTAGCATCTCCCAACACCAGAGCTGGCTTCTGGGCTAAGGAAGGCAGCTGCAGATCCACCCCACACCTGCCCGAGAGAAGGATCTGGCACGGCAGCCTGTTCCATGTTTTTGTATGTGTGACTAACAGCAAATACACTGTACGGGCCAGGTCTCTGCCTTTAGCTCAGCAAGGGAGAAGAAACGATTTTTGATGTTTTACTCCTTTGTTAACCACGCATGTTTTCTTTCCTGTCCTCCTCCACCCTGCCTGGCTTTGGGAGTTTCCTGCTCACCAGAGGGCTCAAGCTACCAGTACCACACGGCACAAACAGCACAAAGAGCTTCCCCAGAACCACAGACCAGGCATAGGGTCCGCTTTCCAACCCGCTCCGTTTTCGCCAAGGCAATAAACGATTACAACCCTTCCCTAATCACCTTAAACAACTACTCGCTTTAACGACTTCAAGAAAACAATTTTTAAACCAGCTTATGTACACTGCAACACGTGCGGTAAGTACGACACTGTTTGCAGGGGGAAATGATGACCGAAAATTATGTCTTTTAGAAACATTCCCGTATTTGCTTTGCACTGCCCGGCCACTCCCGCCTGACACCAACTCCAGCGCTCCCAGCCGGGCTGGAGTGTCTCGCCGAGCCCACACGCCCTGCCCCGGGCTGCTGGTCCCTCACTCGCCACCGACAAGAAGGAGCCCCGGCACG